GAGGAGTAGTTCCAATTTGGAACAAGTGAGTCCCAGGCAGCGTGTGGTAGGTGTAGCTGTAGCGAAGACGATGGACAAAAGATAAGTGTACCCAAGTGAATGGGACAGCGATGAACATGGGTGACACAAGGGGATGAACCTTCTCCAGCTCAAAAACTACCCACCCACACTCCTGTGAGGCAACGATAAACTATAACAAAAACGAAACCTGTCTCCTTCTGCACTTGCAGGGAGTAAGGGGTTCAATGAGCTTGAGGTCGACAGACGCTAGTGAATATAGCGAGTAGAGGACTTTAAGAGGTAAGCTTCAAAGGTTCTTGTTGAGGAGTAAAGCGGGTAAATTCAGTAATAGAAAACTAAGGAGCCATACATGAATAGGTACGGCTTTATATAGGGAATTGTCCGTTCCTCAGACCGAAAGGAGAATATACGAAAAGTGGTCTGAGGAATTAATCAACCAATAAGAAAAAGGGAGAGTAACTATCGTACGACTTCTGACTTGATTAATCAGCAGGTGAGAGACTTGTACTAATAATAGAAGGTTGTCACGCGTGGTCAGGAACCGTATCCTCATGATGAGGTACGATCCTAGATAAGGCGTTATTAGTATTACCAGGCTTTACTGGGGCTTGGAGCTGGTTGGCGAGATGCCTACTACCAGTCCCTACCCAGTGTGCTGGCTGGCTGGGAGCAATACCCAGTCTCTGATCTGTGATATAAAATGGTAACGATGGTTAAGAAAGCCTGTGAGGGCTATGAGAAGTAGAACGGCAAACGATACCTCTAGCCCTAGAGCCAGAGGCGTAATGGGAAAAGCGTTCGAGAACCAAGACATAGCGAAGATAAGGAAATAATAAAACGGTCCTTACAGCTCCAACCAGGCAAGACGAGCGACCAATTTTTTGATAGTATATGATGGCAGATCGACGTCATGAAGATGGACCTGTTGCCCTATTTGGACCAGCCGTTGGGGCTTTGCTGATATCAGCAGTGGCACGTGATAGTCAACGGATTGGCAACGGAAGCGCATAGGAAGTGGTGACATCAGAAAAGGTGGGGGAGCAAAGAAGATGAGGAGGAGGAGGGTGGAGGTGACGAGTAGGTGAACTAAAATGGGGATCCAGAAATGACCGTCGGGTGTGGCTAGGCAAAGGAAGGGAAGTGAAGGAAACAACAAAAGTGAGGGCACAATGTAATGTGTAGCCAGTGGCAACGCAAAAATTTACCGAAATGCCGAAATGCGGAAAGTACCGGATAGAAAGCAAAGGTGAGCGTGACTGGATTGCCTAATAGAGGTGGTGCTGATCAGCCACAAGATTGAAAAAGGCAATATTAATTACTATTCCATGTGGCACTGTGCCTGTGTGGCGCAAAGGCAAGTCTTTTTGAATATTCACTTCGTTATTGACACCTGTCCATGCTACCAATCAACTTTGGTGCATGACATTGGTCCTATCCTAAGGGTAACCACTCCCTCCACTACCTTTATAGTTTGTCTAAGTTGTGCACCAGAGTAACTAACTCTTGGTTGTTACAATTACAATGGGATGTACACCTTTGTTTCTGATATCAAATGGCATCAGCCCTTTCAAAAGCTGGGGGAACAACACCAATGGGACCAGATAGATGACATAGTAGCCTGCATTGTTGTTGACTGCAGGTTAATGCGTTGTTAATAAGAGAAACTACCAGCAAAGGTGTATTATGCACATGTAGGTTTAGCTTGGCATCAAACACCCTCCTGAGCCTTCATAGCACGTTGCATAAGACTTTTCTCTGGGATACAAAAGTACCCCCCCATGCTATCTATCTCAGTATAAGTTAACACTTTTATAGTAGGTAATATATCATTTGATTGAGTGACACAGTTGTCAGAGGAACCTCTGGTTGGTAAAGAGAATAGACTTGAGTATTTTGAACCATACTGGACTGGGGATAATGAACGGTGCCAATAAAACAGATGTCAGTAACAAAAGTGGTGAAATAGAAGAAACTGTGGCTTACATATTCGCTAGGCATTATTTGATGGCTCAACTGTGTAGAGCTCTTTGAGCCTGATGCTATAATTCTTGATGAGCTTTGTGACTGCTCTATTGATGCTCTCTGTCCCTTTTTTCCTACCTCCTTTACCCATCCTTGTAGCTGCACAAAAAACCTAAGTCTGCTTCAGATTTAACAAATGATGAATTTGAGCCACATCTAGACATTACCAGAGTGATAGTTGCTTTTATGCTTGATACAAACTTTGGCATTGCGTCTTTGCCTACTATGTGAAAGAAAAAATTGTGAAGAATGAGGCGCTCTGTGTCAGCAAATGGGTGGCAAGGGTCAAAAAGCAAGAGTTTGGGCGCTCTGTGCATCTCCAGAGATTCAAGCAAGAGGCTATAGTTGTTGGACCATTCAGTCCACAAAAGCTCAGTATTGATTATTTTGAGACATAGCTAGCAAGAGGGTGAAATCAGACATGGCAACATTGTAGTACTAGTTGAGGATGCACCACATTATATGAATGTCTTGTTCTCTAGAGATCCACCCATTGCTCCTCAATGCTCCTCACTTACCTTGCTTTGCAGAGATTCGGTAAGTGGTCTATGTTTAGCTTTTTGCTTATACCTGTGGTTCTTCATGATTCTTCATCCCCTGCATACATCCTTCCTTTCTCTGTCAAGATGTCAAGGTAATCACCTTGATATGATATACAAATACAATGACTCAAGGATAGGAAGAACCTTGCAGCTCTTCTTGTCTTCCAGTCATTGTATTTGCATTCATAATTACTTAAGAGGTTATTTGTGACTTTTTCTGCCAAGATGTTGCTACTCAAACAAGTCCTGGAATATTGTAGCTCAGGGCATGTTCCAGTTGCACAAGATTAACCAGTTTATGGTCTTTCTGGTCACAGACTCTTGGTCTCTGCTTTCATGATTACTTCAAAAGTCATTTGCAACAACATGTACAGTAATAAGTCCTGGAGCACTCTGGCTCATGGTATGTTCCAGTTACGTGAAATTAACCAGATGGAGAGAGAGATGTGCTAATACCTCGACTAGGAACTCAACGTAGACCCAGTTACTCTGAAGGAATTTGAGGAAGTGGTACACAAGGAGTATGCTGGTTCAGAGCCATACCCTACATACATCTTCTTTCTCCTTCACTGATATATCTGTAGACAATCAAGCTAGAGACTCCCTTTCACAAGCTATGATGTGCGACAACTTTGACGAAGAAGAAGAAGAGGTCTGAGACAGCTTATTTGCGCTACCATAGGTGAGTTGTACTTGATATGTTCAGAGGAATGATTTAAATTTGGGCTCACCTGGAGGTCATGCAATCAGTGGACAATAATCCCTATGAAGCTTCCTTGAAAAGATTTGTGTGCCTATACTATGCAGTCACAGCTTCTGGTATACATGAGCTTGTTTATATATGACATTACTCCTCTAACAGCTACCTAGCAGGCTACACCCATAATGCCGGAGCCCCCAAAGATGAGCTATAAGAGAGTGTACTTTGAGGTTGATGAATCCAATATTCTCTGTGGGCATTTGTGCAAAGTAGAGAAAGAGAAACAGAGAGAGAGGATTTGCATATCATCAAAAATCAGTGTGATCATAATTGAATTGTGGTCCAAGATATCATGGCATTAATTTGTGTTCTAGCTTTGGTGGTGCATGCAAAGAGGACAAGCCAACCAAACACAAATGGCTAGAGTCAAAGCCAGCATTGCCGCTGCATTGAAGGAACAGAAAAACAGGTACACAAGGAGAGAAGAGCAGAGGAAAATAAGATTTGAAGAGCTCCTGAGTCAAAGTATAGCACAGACCAAAGCCAAGAAGGCAGCTCAGCAGGAAAATTGGAAGAAACAAATGGCAGCTTGATATTCTGAAGCATGGTGAGAACAGGAGGAGACAAATAGAAAGGAAGCTGAAGCAAGAGCAGAGCGCAAGGAACAGCTGAGATTGTGACTGGAGCAGATGGAGGCAAAGAAGGCTTATGAGATGGCTGCCTTGACACAGAAACTAGAGAATATTGCCAAGCAAGGTGAGGTATGTTACGATACACAACTTTTGGACCTTTAAATTTCATTCTCCTCTTTAACTTTCTTCTGTAGTTCTTACACACTATGCCATGTGGCACTTTCCATTTTGTTCAAACTCCACCTTCTTGCGCTGCGCTGCCTTTCTCCTTATTTTAGCTATGCAGTGGAGCTGGTCACACAGGCTGTGCCCCATGACATCATCAGCCACTGCCTCCATCAACTGTACAGTACACATGTACAAACAACCTGTAGTAGTATATATACCCCAATAGATCAAGAAGACTCCTCAGCGAGTCCTCCTGTTGTTTACCCACAACTAACCCGGTCCTATCCTAAGGGTAACCACTCCCCTCACTACCTTTACAGCTTTGTCTGAGTTGTGTGCCAGAGTAACTAAACTCTTGGTTGTTACATTAGGACTCACTCTTTACTACTCTCTTGCACATTGTGCAAACCTGGTCCCCAGAGTTAAGAGGTTATTGTTTTGGAATATCCCATATAGCAGAAGGGTGCACTCCTAGCGGCGGCCCTGTAGTGCTCAGGGAGAAGGGACAATTAAACTATACATGGCCCCCAGTGTTAAGGGGAGTACTTTAGCTCAGTAATAGTGTGGAACTATTGTTGATTAGAATTTAGATACAAAAAACTTTGCTTCTCTTTCCTCTGACCAGGCCGGGCACTTGCCTCCGCCAGTCTGGAGAAGGGTTGACAGCTTAACAAGCGGACCAGGGTTTATTACATTTACCTTTTATATACATTTTCAAATACTATAGTGTGGGTAGTCGGAGATTGAGATCTGATACTCAGCTAGGAAGAGGTAGATCCACAGATAGCAAGCCGGGACCCCCAGTTACATTTTTTACGTTTACAAAGAGAACAAGTCAACATGTCATTGCAAACCACCCAATCTGATGTCAACACCTTGTTGCACAATATACATATACAGGTTTTGACATTAACCATGCAGCTTGCTGAGCTTCAGGCAAACCCCCCTAAAGCGGTTGAGCAAAAATTCAACAAAAAAGTCGAGATTGTCGCTGACCCCGGCACTTTTGAAGGAGACCAGGCTCAATTTGCTGAGTGGTGGATCAAGCTCCAAATTTGGATCAAGGTGAACTGGGACATGTTTGCCGATGATTTTGATATAGTGACAGCTGTGCTGTCAAGACTCAAAGGACCTGTGGCGGGTCAATACGCCCATGTTAGACTCCAGGAATGCTACACCGCTGGTCACTGGCCTACCTGGGACAATCTCAAAGTAGAGATTGAAAAATATTTCAAACCCCAAGCAAATCTGTACCTTCAAACAAGGAAACATGAGGACAGATGACTTTGTTACCCAGTTACTGGCCCTCTCCATCCAAGGGGGTTTAGGAAATGAACACGCAGTAGAGCTGTTGGAGCACAATGTGTCACCAGCCATTGCACAACAGCTTTACATACAAGATATGCAGAGCGAGAACCTTGCAGCAGCTGCTGAGGAGGTTCAAAAAATTGGTAGGGCCATATAGCTCTACACTATGCAATTTGATGGCAGGTCCACCACCAAAAACTGTTAGTTTTGGTGATTCTGCACCTTTGTGCTACCTATATATTTTCATTCCTTTCTCTATCTATTCTTCTATCATTCACTATTGATTGTGTTCTCTATTATTTCGCCTTTGTGGCTGCTTTGTTTACCTTTGTTTACAAAACTTCGGACAGTATTGCAGAGTCCAATGCTTCCTATTCTCTAGTTACTCACATTGGACTCTAGGTACTGTATACCTGTCATACTCTCTAATAATAAAGTTACTCACATTGGACTCTAGTTCCAGTCCCTGATTGCTCTCAGCAAGTGGCTAGACACTTCCTTCAAGCTTTGTTCTTAATAGGTTATGAGCCCTGTGCTCTAGCCATCTTCCTGACCTCATATCTCACCATCCAAGCGTCCTACTGCTTATCCATCGTAACCATTGTCTTCTGGGACTCTTATTATCTCATCAATCACCTCAGATTACTCTGATCTCATCTTGATCTCCAACAACAACTCCTTGTTGCAAGTTACCCCCATTTCGGACGCTTTTTTGGTCTTATCTGCACCATATCTCGCCCAATCCTTATCTGATCGTCCTGTAACTTCTACCATCGTCTTCTACGGCCTAAATAACCCTAGGAGACCTGTCAGAGCGGTTGAATTTGAGCTGGATATTTCTGTGAGCCTTCATCATCATTTGATCACCTTTTGGCCCCCTATTCCATATCTCCACATCCTGTGCTCGGATCTTGGCCCTATTTGAGCCATCTACTACCCTATACTATTGCACTCTACACCGTCAATTTGGGGGCAATCCATCCACTCCATCATCCTCTGTGAAGTTCGCATTTTTGGCACTTTCACCCCTATTGGACTCCTATTGCATATCTCCACATCCTGTGCTTCACTTCTTGTGATATTTGGGCCATCTATTACTCTATAAAAACGTTCCCTATACCTCTGATTTGGTGGCAATCCATCCATCTTATCTGTCTCTGCATCAATTTCGACTTTTTGCCCTATTTTTCGCTTTTTGGCATATCTGGTGTGTGCATAAAGCTCCAATCTTCTCTACTCTGTCCATTATCAGATAGAACAAGCCTATAGACTGTGAAGCTCGCCTGCATTGCCTCAGTTTGCTGTTGCCTAGAGCCTCTCTCAGTCTGCGGTGTTTGGGGAGCTTAAGTCACTTTGTTGACTCATATACAAGCCCTATTAACCAACACTGTCTCGAGGCGATTTCTCTGTTAATATCAGTGTGGAATTGAAAGGGGAACACAGGCGTAACCCTGTAGCAGCACTAGGAAGCCTTAGCACCCTCCTGGATCGCTTTTGGACCCTTTTTGGACCCTTTTTGGACCTATCCCTGCGCTTTCTGACCCTCTCCATATCCTCTCTCTACCGCCTCACCATCTTATCTGCTCGCCTCCTACTGTTGCCCATTGTCTTTGCCACTATTCCATCGCCTATAGCCGTCTCCTACATCATTTATCATTGCTCTATTGTCTTATACAACACCCATCATGTCTGACTCTGATCCCAAATTCCATCCCTTGTCTGGCACTAACTACCCCCAGTGGAGTGGTGAAATGCAAGCTTGGTTGATGACCAAGGGACTGTGGAGGCTCGTCTCTGGCGCTGAAAAGTGTCCTGGGACTGACGCTGAAGCAATAGAGAAATGGGAGTTGAGAGCTGAAAAGGCTGCTGGTGCATTATATCTCAATGTCACCAAAGAGCAGCGCATCCATCTTGATGGCATCATTGATGATCCTGTCAAGATCTGGGAGAAACTGGCAATTGTGCACGTCTCTAAGAAGCCTGGGACAAGATTTAATGCCTATGACGACTTCTTCTCTATCAGAAAGAAGGAGGACGAGTCCCTGCAGTCTCTTATGACCAGAATTGACGAAGGCATGCATCAGATTCAAAATCTTCGTCCTACTGGCTTCTCATTGTCTGAATTGGACGATGAATTGACATGCATGGCCATGATTAGGGCGCTTCCTGATCAATATGCCCACTTCACTTCATCTCTACTACTTCTGGGCACCTTGGACAAGACCCAGCTCAAGGATGCTTTCCTTGCTGAAGAGGTCAATCGCCGTCGTCGTGCTGAAGTCGATTCTGCCTTGCATTCTTCGTCTACCACTGCCAATAGCACCTGCACCCATCCTAACTGCCATCATTGCAACCAATCCACCACCTCTACTCGCGTTCAGTGTGATTTCTGTGGTTTACTTGGTCATACCCAAGACAAATGCCACAGATACATTGCTAGTCGCCAACAGGCAGTGGAGGGTGCTAAGAATCGCTACAAGCGTGGCAATAAGGCTCAGGCAGGCTCCAGCAACTCTCAGAATACCTCTCAGCAGCCCAAATCTTCGCCCAACAATGCCAATTCATCTACTGTGGTCACTGAATCAGCTGGGAATGCAAGTCTTCGTTCTATTCATCCCTCTGATCCTCATTGCCCTCTCCAACTTGATGCTGACATTGATTGGAATGCAGACACAGGCGCCACTTCTCATATGACACCTCATCGTCATTGGATGCACCACTATACCCCATATCGTGTGCCAATCAAGCTGGCTGATCACACTGTTGTCTATTCAGCTGGTGTTGGTACTGTGGTGTTTAATCCTGTGATGAATGGCAAAGTGGCTAGGGCTGTGGAATTCTCTAGAGTGCTCCATGTACCAGATCTTCGAAATAATCTCCTCTCAGTCTTGTATTTAACTCGTCAAAGTGGTTTCAATGTCACTATTTCGTCTCATTCCATGTCCTTTATGCGTGACAACACTCTCTTGTTCACTGCAACTATCAATGACAACAATGCAGCATTCCTTGATGGATCTACTGCTGCTTGTGTTGAATTGGGACATTTTACTGCGACTATACCACTTGATTTGATGCTCTGGCATCGCAGATTGGCTCACCACCATCATGCTGATGTCAAGAGACTGATACAGAGAGATCTGGTCACTGGGCTTACACTGGAATCCAAGGCTGCTCCTGACCCTGTCTGTGAACCGTGCTTGTCTGGCAAGATGCATGCCAATCCATTCCCCTCATCTGATACTCGCTCTGCTCATCCTTTGGACCTCATCCATTCTGATGTACACCAAGTCTCTTCCCCCACATTCTCTGGTTATCGCTACTGGGTCACCTTCATTGACGATCACAGTCGATTCCGTGTTGTTGTGCCTCTCAAGGCCAAGTCAGATGTCTTTGATGCTTTCAAGAGATTCAAGGCTTATGCTGAGACTCAATTGGAGCGTAAAATCAAGGCTCTGCGCGATGACAAAGGGGGAGAGTACATGTCCAAGGAATTTGAGCAATTCACAGATGATCATGGGATTGTCAGACAGCATACCACCAGGAATCGTCCTCAGCAGAATGGTGTGGCAGAGCGAGCAAACAGACTTCTGACTGAGCGTATCACTGCCATGTTATCAGAGTCTGCATTGCCTAACAGCTTCTGGGGTGAATGTCTGTCCGCTTTGGTGCATGTCTGGAACAGGTGTCCCACTGATGCAGTGGCCCATGCCACTCCATTTGAGTTGTGGTATGGACGCAAGCCTGACATGTCTCACCTTCGCGTTTGGGGCTGCACTGCCTATGTGCATGTGCAAAAGGACAAAAGAGGCGTCTTTGGCTGTCATATGGAGAAATGTGTGTTCATTGGTTACCCTGAGGGATACAAGGGATGGAAATTCTACAATCCTACCACCAAGCACACTGTTATCTCTGAGAGAGCTGATTTTGATGAGCGCTACTTCCCTGGCTTAAAGAGGTCTTCTGACGATGTCCCGCCTCCACCTCCCACTCCACCTTCGCTATCCATGCCATTGGGCCTGATTGAGGATGTCCCTGCACCAGGTCCAGGGGGAGATATGGGCCCACCAGCTGCGCTTCAGCAGCCTCAACCATTGCCTGACAATGGGCCTCATTTGGACCTTGATGCAAAACCACCTGTGAATCAACCTCCTGAGCTTCCAAATCACCCTCCTCATCGCTCACCTTCTCCTGACTTGCCTATTGCACTGAGACGCCCTGTAAGGGCTAGGAGACCACCTAGACCATGGTGGCTTCAACACAGACAACCTACTCCTGCCATTGAGAGTGATGACAGTGATTCTGAGGCAGTTGATGATGAAGTGGCACACTTTGGAGACTCTGCTGAGCCTAGGTCGTTTGCAGATGCAATGAAGCGTCCTGATGCAGATAAATGGAGAGAGGCAGCCATGGAAGAGCTTCAAGCTCATGAGCGCAATGGTACTTGGTCACTAGTGGAACTACCTCCTGGAGTCAAGGCTATTGGTGGCAAGTGGGTCTTCAAGATCAAGCGCAACTCAGATGGCACTGTTGAGCGCTACAAGGCCAGATATGTGGCCAAAGGTTATAACCAGCGCCCTGGCTTTGATTTCCTCGAAATATTTGCACCTACTGTCCGCATATCATCCATCAGAGTTGTCCTTGCCATTGCAGCCATCCACAACCTCCATTTGCGCTCCATTGACATTTCCCATGCATTCCTGAATGGAGTCATGGATGTCAAGGTCTACATGCATCAGCCAGAGGGATTCCATCAGGGTCCTCGCAATCTTGTTTGCCAGTTGGACAAGGCCATCTATGGGACAAAGCAGGGAGGCAGAATGTGGAACCAGAAGATGCACACTGTGCTTGAAAAACTCGGATTCAAGCGTACTTATTCAGACTCTGCCATCTATGTCTTTAACAGAGCTGATGTGCGCATTATCCTGCCTGTCTTTGTTGATGACATGACACTGGCATCCACTTCTACTTCTGCACTTGACCAAGCTGTCAAGGACCTCTCCCTGCACTTTAAGCTTCGTGATCTTGGCCCTACTTCTTACCTACTTGGCATTTCCATCACTAGAGACCTAAGTAATCGCACCATCTCCCTCTCCCAACATCAGTACACTCTGGACATTCTGGAGCACTTTGGCATGAAGGACTGCAAGCCTGTGTCCATTCCCATGGATCCTGGTTTGCGCCTCACCAAGGACATGTCTCCCAAAACATCCAGTGATGCTGCTTTGATGAAGGACATTCCCTACCTTGCTGCTGTTGGTGCTCTGATGTATCTGGCCACTACCACTCGTCCTGACATTGCCTACACTGTTGGAGTCCTTGCCAGATATAACTCTAATCCTGGTCTTACTCACTGGAGCGCTGTCAAGCACTTGTTCCGCTACTTGCAAGGCACCCTTAATCATTCCCTTGTCCTTGGTCCTGATCCCAATTCCACTGAACTCTTCACCACTTTCTCTGATGCTGATCATGGTGGTGACAAGGACTCTGGTCGTTCTACTGGTGCCTATATTGTCAAGATGGGATCTGGTGCTGTCTCCTGGAGCTCCAAGCTTCAGAACATTGTTGCTCTGTCCACCACTGAAGCAGAATACATTGCTGCTGTTGAGGCTGGCAAAGAGATTTGGATGCGAAATTTGTTGAAGGAAATGGGCTATCCTATCACCTCTCCTTCCACCCTTCATATTGACAACCAATCTGCCATCTCTGTATCCAAGAACCCTGAGCACCATGGTCGGATGAAACACCTTGATCTGCGATGGCATTGGTTGAGAGATGTTGTTGACTCTGGGCAGATTGCTCCTACCTTTGTTCCCACTGCTGAAATGCCTGCAGACTTGTTGACCAAGGCTCTTGCCAAGCCTAAAGTGGAAGTGTTCAGGAAGATGATGGGACTTATTAGATCAGGGGGGAGCTGATGCTTGGGAGGTGCAGCATCAGGGGGGAGTGTTAGTTTTGGTGATTCTGCACCTTTGTGCTACCTATATATTTTCATTCCTTTCTCTATCTATTCTTCTATCATTCACTATTGATTGTGTTCTCTATTATTTCGCCTTTGTGGCTGCTTTGTTTACCTTTGTTTACAAAACTTCGGACAGTATTGCAGAGTCCAATGCTTCCTATTCTCTAGTTACTCACATTGGACTCTAGGTACTGTATACCTGTCATACTCTCTAATAATAAAGTTACTCACATTGGACTCTAGTTCCAGTCCCTGATTGCTCTCAGCAAGTGGCTAGACACTTCCTTCAAGCTTTGTTCTTAATAAAAACAACTATTCCCAGGGGCACCCTGGGTCATCAAACCAAAATCATAACCACTCTCACGGGTTCAAGCTGTTTGGGCTAAAGCCAGGGCAGGGTGCTCCTATGGATATCGGCGTGGTCCAAGGTGGACAAATGTGCAGATTCAAGGGCAACTGCTACAACTGTGGCCAAGAGGGACACATGTCCCAAGATTGCAGAAACAGGGCCCAGGCCGCTCAACAAAAAAATAACCAATGCCGCCAATTGGAAACAGAAAAACCGGACAATCAGCTCAATTCATTGGCCGGTTGTTTGTATGATGAAATCAGGGCCTTCTTTTATGATCAGCAGATTGCTGAGATGAAGGTCCAGGGAAAAGAATTCGGAGTGTAGGTCACTTGGGTGCCTTCGCTTCTCATAGTAATGAAGTAAACCACAACAAAGTGGCCCCTGCTCCAGGGTGTTGCACGAGCAATAATGGAAAGAAGGGGGCAGTTCCCCAATTTGTAAATATATTTCTCAATTTATTATCTGAAGTATGTACTTGTATGAGGAATTGTGACTGTAATATTTATGATACCACCGCTGCACCAGAGTCTCCTCAGAAGCATGGCCCCGGCGAGACAAACACTAGGGTGCTTGATGCTGGTAAAAATAAAACTAATAATATAGAAAAACCTAAAGAAAAACATGTTTCTCTTAATATTTCTTCTTCTTCTTCTCCAGAGCCACTTTCCACAGAAATCCCAAGGCGTGTGTTGATGTGCACATATTTATTCCAAAAAAAGATCTGTTTAGACGTTGGTGTGGGAAACTTTGCCCAGGGCATAGTATACCCAACCAGTGCACTGCTTGATTCAGGCGCTAACGGAATCTTCATAGATCAGGTCTGGGCAGAGCAAATTGGACTCCCCCTTGTAAAATTAGATGTATCTATTCCGGTCTATAACATTGACAGTACACTCAATGCGGGTGGCTGCATTATGCACAAATGTTTTTTTGTTGTCAAATACTAAGGACACAGAGAATGAGTCACCACTAAAGCTACCCAACTAGGGAAGATTAATTTGATCTTAGGCTGGACCTGGCTATTTGAACACAATCCTCAGATTGACTGGTAGATAGGGGTTGTCACATTGTCATGTTGCCCTTAGGAGTGTGATGACTTGGGTAAGCCGAGTCATGTCCATCAAACTGAGCTTGATGAAAGGATAAACGCTGGTCATGTTTATGCCAAGCTTAGATCTTTAGATAAGGTTGACGATGACAATGATGAGGTAAAACCCGAGGAAGAGATTAAGAGGCTGGTACCTCTAGAGTACCATGACTTCTGGAAAGTCTTTTCAAAACATAAATCAGAACACTTCCCAGAGGCTAAGCCTTGGGACCATGCTATAGATTTGAAGGACATGTTCAAACCTAGAAAGGGACACATGATTCCACTCTTTTCCCCAGAAAAAGATGAGGTTTCTAGTTTCATAGATGAACAGCTTAGGAAGGGTTTCAGCAGACCTTCCAAGAGCCCTATGACATCCCCGGTGTTCTTCATTCCTAAAAAGGATGGTAAGAAGTGTATGATTATGGATTATAGTTACTTGAATGAGTACACGGTTACAAACGCGTATCCGCTCCCTTTAATCAGTCAGCTAGTAGACAAATTGGCTGGTTCCAAGATCTTAACAAAGATAGATCTCAGATGGGGGTATAATAATGTACAAATCAAAGAAGAAGATGCTTGGAAGGCCGTGTTCATGTGCCACCAAGGATCCTTCAGACCCCTTGTTATGTTTTTTGGGTTGACCAATTCACCGGCGACCTTCCAGAGCATGATGAACAAGATTTTTGCGGATATGGATAACTGTGTCGTCATTTACATTGACAATTTATTAATATTTACGAAGTTGGACGATGAGGCTCAGCATGACAGGATCATGCAAGAAGTTCTTTGATGCTTACAGGAATGGGACCTATTCGTTAAACTTGAAAAATATAACTTTAAAGTGAAGGAAGTAGACTTCCTTGGTATGATAATTGGCCACAATGGAATCAGGATGGATCCTGAGAAAGTTCAAGCTATTTTGGATTGGCCTGAACCTACTCATGTCAAAGAAGTTAGGGCTTTCCTTGGCTTAGTCAATTTCTACTGAAGGTTTGTTAAAAACTTTGCGCTTTTGATAAGCTTAAACAGGCATTCACAACAGCACCCATATTAGCATTTCCAGAATTGGACAAAGAGTTCCAGCTAGAAACTGACTCTTCTGATTTTGCTACTGGGGCTGTTCTATGAATTAAATGCCCTGATGATCTTTGGAGGCCTTGTGCCTATTTATTGCATAGTTTGTCGCCTACAGAGCGCAACTATCAAATTTACGACAAGGAGATGCTGGTCATCATTAGAGCCTTAGAGCACTGGCAGCACTACCTAGAAGGTGCTAGGCACCAGTTTGAAATTTGGACTGATCATAAAAATCTGGAGTATTTTATGATGGCCCGAGACTTGAACCAAAGACAGGCCCACTATACGGTGTACTTGTCTAGCTTAAGACAGAACATGGAAACCAGAAGCCCATCTGGACAATTCCCGCAATTAAAAAGGGTTGAATCCATGTCTCTAAGCTTGCTAGGAGCTGAGGCTTTTTCAACCTATGGTGTAAGTGATACTTGACACCTTGCTGGTAACCGGCTGGGGCTCCTCCAAGGCTCCTGGCACATGTTGACTAAGCTTTGATGTTTTTCCTCAAAGGCTGAACATCTCATCTAGATTATCACCTGTGTCGTTGGGAAGTTGGGACCATTGTTTGGGTTTTGGACGGGCTGCATGTGTAAATGGATTAATGTAGATACAAAATAAAGCCAATGTACTTATGCTTCACATTCACCTTATCCTCGGTAGAACCCTTGTGAGGGCATGTTGGGGGAGTTGTGTGAGAACATATGTTAATGTCCACGCAACAAAGGTCCATGATGCACTTACACGGATCAACATCATTGTTGGCTTCATCATTATTAGATGAATGAACTGTCAGTGGCGACCCCACACCTCCCTTAGTACCCGTGACCTCCTTCCCAGACACAGAGCCTCGTGCACCTGCCATCTTTCCTGATGTACCCAAAGACCTTGCCTGCTTTCTTTTTGGTTGCCTATGTGGATGGGGCAGCCTTGGCCTTACACTTATGACCAAGCTTAACATCATGGTTGCTATTATCATCATCTTCCTGCTCATTGTGAGAATTATTATCTTTGGAATCAGACAGAGCAAGGCCCATTCCCTTGCGGTCAACCATTCTGGTGACCTGCCTGGATGTTCTGAACACCTTCTGGGCCTTTGTATATCAAACTGGGATAGATGGGATAATCATCTCCACCTTTAATTTTTGCATATGATGCCATTGGACATTCTCACCGGAGGTTCCTTGGGAGCCTCCTCCTCCTCTTGTTCTTCGACACCACTGATGGTTGTGATACTTGGTGCAGAGGGTACTTTCTTTTTTGGCCTTTTGACCTTACTTCCAGAGTGATCAATCTCTCGGGGCTCCTCCTTGTGATCCACACTGCCCTTGTAAAATTTCCTCAGACCATGCAAGTTAAGGGAGTCATGGAGGGGTGCAGCACCCTGGATGATGGGTTCTATAGAGTTTAATAGTTTTGCTAAGTAGAGGATTAGTATGTAGTACAAATGGTGTAGCCTGACAGAAAGGTACTTACTTTTCATGTCTGGGACACATTTGAAGTGTAGGTGCTTTGAACTTTTGTCCTGCAGGCTGTTAACAAGGATGCTACGCTCAGAAAGAGTGAGGTCCAAGATCCCTTTGGGCTTGGCAGTGTTGCATTGTTCATCTCCTGGAAGGAGCACACCATTGTGCCAATTAATACATGTGATCCCTCTTTTTGCTAGTTCTTTCACCATACCTTTCCAGGGAAACAATTTTCCAGACACAAAGTCATGGCCAAGACCCGCTAGGACCCAAAATGTGTTTAGTGATTTTTCAACAATAATACAGTAAGTAAATGACTTTACCAAGCTGTGATGATATCAACTTTCTGATGACCACAGGGACATCCTTCTTGTTGCCAGCTCCCTCTAGTGCCTCTGATGAGCCTTTGCACATAGGTTCTTGCTCCGGTATGTCATTTTATTTGGTGCTATCCCCATCAAAGGTCTCTGATACTGAAGCCAGTGATGCCTGGTTGCTATGGGATGGGACCATCAGAGTGTATACATAGATAGGTTTTTGATGAGCTTACTATATATGAGCTTTGAAATTTCCGATTGTTTGGTCTTTGTCTGTATGGCACCTGACCTGAAAGAACTTGGGAGGCCATTAGAAGGGGAGGCAATTATATTATAAAGCCAGTTGCTCACATTCTCCGCTCCTGAGGTAGCATGGAGGAAGGCCAATGTGACATCCTGGTTGACACAGCTGCCAGCCATGACAATTGCAGCCTCACAACTATGGGTTTGCGCAAGGCTGTCAACTTACTCCCAATAAGTGACAATGCGCTGAACAAGACAATGCAACTCACTGTTTGTATTATTCTTCTTCTGGCTTTTGCAAAGTCGGCTGAATGCTGCAAAACTGTTTGCCTCGTGCCTGCATATGCTGTGGCCCTATCATGAGCCTCCAATATCCCTTGCCATGTATCAGGGTAAGCGGCCTTAAAACATGCATAACAATCCCTTCAAATGATTGGTGCTAATAACAAAAGTGTTAGTTTCATGTACAACAAGAGATGTATTGCTTACATGGTATTCCTTCTTGGAGAGCCCCTTTTGGAAGCCTCTCTATTTCCTGCTTCTGATGTGATGCAAAATACTTACTGTAGTAATTCCAGTGATTTTGGGTGTTTGCCTTCTGGGCTTGGGTCCTCAGCCAGAGGTCAATTAGCTGGGACTCCGTGAGAGTTGTGCGCTGTGCAAGCATGGTGATTTGATTATTAATATCATGGAAACCATTGTCCAGGATTGCATTGGTTGCATCCTGCCAGCAATCATGTCCACAGCTGATGTTGAGGCTTGAAAATCATTGTAACCTGGCATCTCAGGAAAATGCTCTCCAGCGTATATTGATGCCTGTATGTTTGCCAACTCGTCAACCTTCAAAGATGTTGAGGGGATAATGTGAGTGAGAAGAATAGGTGGCACAACCAGATTAGCTTGGGTTGGAGGATGGAGGTGGTCACCCTCTGGTAGTAGCACAGAGGGCCTCTGGAGTTCAACATGAAGGTCAGAGCTGGGAGAATGTGGAGGATCCACAGTATCCGCAGCAATTCCAGTGCTAGGGAGTGGACTTGAGCCATGTGATCGAGCCTTGGTCACCTTTGTGGCTTGTAGGAGCTGTTCTGGCTCTGTGGACTGTTGCACATTGCTGGGACCAGGGGTGCAATAGCAAATAGGAACTGGTGTTGCATCAGGTGGACATGGAGCCTTCTTGGGAGGCTCTAGGCAAGGTTCATCATTGTCAGATGGATCCGCAGCAATATAATCCCCGGGAGAGTCAATCTCAACATATCTGCACTGCTTACACAAATTTTGGGAGGATTGTTGGTTTTGTGCAGAAAATGCAGTGTGTAACAACCAGGAGTTATTTACTCTGGTGCACACAGGAACACACTATAAAGAAGATGATGGGTAGTGGCTACCCCTTAGGCTGCAGTGAGTTTGTTGTGCTAGACAACAGGAGGACTTGCTGAGTCCTTCCCCATGTATTGCTCCTGTATATATACTAAAATACATGAGGTACTGTACAGTTGTAAATAAAGTTTAAAGTCCAATGTCTAGCATGTAACCTGTCACATGGTGAGCCTAAACACTGGTCAGGTGATGTGTCACATGACTGGTCATATGACTATGAAAAGTCGAAAATGTAAAGTGAAGTAAATGGTCACATGACTGGTCATGTGACTTGGAAAATGAAAAGTAATGTACAAAAGTGAAGTGTAAGTAGGTGCTGGTATGTCAATTGTAACACAGTGCGGTGATCTGCTTGGTTTGGGCCAGACAGGAATAGGTCAATCAATGGCTCATCCTTTGGCAGGGTCTCAAAGGCAGTGAGAAGTCTTGCTCGCCAGCCTTGAGCTTTGCAAACAAGCCCTGAATCACACTCAGTGGCCTTGATTTTGGCTCTAAGTCAAACACGCATTGCAATAATGGAAGTGATTAGCGACCCCCTCCAATTTGTGAATGACCATAGTCATCATCGGCTGTACTTTTGGCATCTTCTGGGTTATCTGGAGCTGACAAGAAAATTGGACAATATTGAGGCTGTGTTTGGATCAGGTTGTTGAGATTTCCATCTATTTTTCTGTCAAGAAAGTTGTTTCCACATCAGAGTTACAGTCTTTGTTGGAAGGACTAGGAAGGCACTTACCAAGATAGTCGATATATCATAAGACAAGGCAGATATATGTCAATACCAATATGGAAATGTGATTTTGAGGTTTGCAAGACTGATTGGTTGACCAGGAGTGTTTTTAGGTCCTTGCAACAGATGCTGACACTTTGGGGTGCATTAAGCATACTGGATATATTACATCAAGATATATGTGTGTATGACTTACTTGATAATAGAAAAATAGATCGGGTAGATGGTGCAGGGTGATGTACTGTTTTTACTGGGATGAGCTACAGACACTTCAGAGGACAAGAATGAGGGGAAATTTTCTTCCATCAATGGGCTGATAGCCAATCACAATATGAATAAATGACCTATTGAATGTAAAACATGCCTGGAGGATGCAAACATGACTTTATGACCAGTACAATACATCAAATGAATATGGGAAGCCGCCCCATCACACTGATATCAATTTCTCCAGAGGCTTCTTACAAATATCATGATCTAAGGACTGAAAATCTTACAGTCTGCATGTAGCTCTTGCATGCATATTGTGAACTTGACTTCTTTGTTCTTAATACCATGGGTCGTGCAGAAAAATATCTAAGCCTTGCTGACAGGCTCACCACAACTCGAGAGCGCAAAAATCAATATGCTTTTACAAGATGGTAAGCTTATGCGATAAAACTTGGAACATATATTGACCAATATACAGAGGGAAAGCTATGCAAAAAATACAGAATACTCGCCATTATGCTAAGTCTCACAGACAACACGCCAAATACCCTTCTCCGCCAGCTTGCAATGAAGCTTTGTCTCAACTTCACAAGCTCCAACAATTACCTGCTACGCTTATTCAGCTTGCTGCAAGACCTCTTCCAGCTACACACCTTTTTCATAAAGTGTTGCAAGGGCCAGACTATGTGGATGAATCTGAACTTCCCCTGTGGGATTTGGTACCTCCTTACAAACTACCAGAACCTGCCAATACACCAAAAAAAAGCTCAATTTACATCCTCTCTCATTGACGTGATGCATGGGTGCCGCTTTTGGCTGGAGAAGGAGGCACAGTGGGCTTGAGTAGACCTATACAATGGTGGTAGGTTTCCAGAGCTGGAGAAGATGCCAGCAGAGGAAGTCTGTTTATTGCTCGTACATTATGAGTCCCTTGGCAAGCAAATTAGCAAGTTTGAAGGCTGTGAGAGGCATCAGTGAATGGCAGAGAATCTCTTACAGTGGAGAGCTCAGGTGATGTGTACTAGGTGGGATAAATTGGCAAGGTTATATTCTGGTGAGGACCTATACATAAAACTCCTATAAAGATCAGAACATAGGTATAGAAAGGACAAGTAGCTTTGTAGAGTCTTCATGTCCCTGTCTTGAAGCCCTGTGATACCAGATCCTTATAATACAGCGGATATCATTGCTAAGACCCATAACCCACAGTCATGATTATTTGTCTGCAAGGGCAATGTGAGGGATGTTAACCAAACAAATTAACCAGACTCACAATGATAGGCCTAGCCACCCAACCTTTTCTGTCCACTCAACAGCATTCATGGTGTCGATTATTACAATAACACAATTTTTGGACCTTTAATTTTCATTCTCCTCTTTAACCTTTTTCTGTAGTTTTCACACACTGTGCCATGCAGCACTTTCCCTTTTGTTCAAACTCCTCTTTTGCGCACTGCGCTGCCTTTTCTTATTTTAGCTACAACTCTCTCACGCAGTGGAGCTGGTTATACGTGCTGTGCCCATGACATCATCAGCCACTGCCCTCATCAACTGTATAGTACATACATACAAACAAACCTGTAGTAGTATATATACCCCAATAGATCAAGGAGACTCTTTAGCAAGTCCTCCTGTTGTATACCCACAACTAACTTGGTCCTACCTAAGGGGTAACCACTCCCTCATCACTACCTTTATAGTTTGTCTTAGTGTGCGCCAAAGTAACTAACTCTTGGTTGTTACATTGATTGGCTATGGCTTGCAGCCTCATTATTAGTGTCATAATATCCTGTTGAACATTTCAATGGTGGCAAATGCAAGACAGTCCACTTACCTTGATATCCACTTTCCATCCCTTTTGGTCTCCAAAACTATCAAAAAGATGGAGTTGTTTGGTTGAGAGGTGAGCAATACAGAGGACCCAATGTTCCACTAGCGATGGGGGGTGTATAGGTATTATCCATATGTTTTTCTCCCAATACAAACACCAGGACATGGTTTGCCAAAGGATGTCATTAGACGCATGGTGTTGAATATGTGGGAGATTGTGGGTGGACAGAATAGCACATCATTGAGCATGTGGCAATAGGAACTCTGAGTTTAACAAGGCGGTGCAGCTGTTAACACATGTATCATTGAGTGGAGCAGATAGAGAGGAGAGCATTGTGATATCTCTAGCTTTAAATACCAGCTGCCGGAATCTATCTTGAGGTTCTCGCACTTTCCTTGTAGTTAAACCTGCTGCAATTGCTGTTTCATTGTAGGACAAGATAGGGAATTTGTCAAAGTCAAGGTCCTTGCAAATATCTATCTGTCAATGTGCTGTTGTCAGGGTAATATCAAATATACCTCTAGAGCCTCCAAAATGATCTGCACATCAGCTACCTTTTTACTTTCTTCATTATTTTGATCCTCGTCTGCCTCTCCATTATCTCCAGCCAATATGTCCCCTAGGGTGACTTGTTCTGGGTTGAGTGCAAAAATGTTCTCTGTTAGAATAGCTGGTTCAATGTCAGCATCAATTTCTATAATAGCTGAGCCGGGTAATAGCATAGATGTAGTATTTATCCAGTGATATGTGGTTGCATTGGAGCCTCCCGAGAGCCTAATGGCCAATTTGACACCTTCCTTTGCCCGGCTCTCAAAGTGTGTTAGTGATGTCAATGGTTTTACCAGTTGTGCTTGAAGATAGTGCATGTGCTCCTGATTCTGGCGCAATGTAAGATGGAGCCGCACATCTGTAAAACACAATAAATCTCTGTAAGAATATGAGCTTGTATCACTTACAAGCAGGTGTACACAGAGCCAGCTCAATAGTTGCAAGCTCCTCCCCAAACCATTGACAGACATTATCGGTGTCATGCACCAAAGTTGATTGGTAGCATGGACAGGTGTCAATAATAAAGCAAATATTCAAAAAGACTCGCCTTTTCGCCACACAGGCACAGTGCCACGTGGAATAGTAATTAATATTGCCTTTTCCGGACTTGTGGCTGATCAGCACCACCTCTATTAGGCAATCCAGTCACGCTTACCTTTGCTTTTCTATTCGGTACTTTGAGCATTTCGGCATTTCGGCAAATTTTTGTGTCGCCACTGGCTACAAATTGCATTGCACCCTCGCTTTTGTCATTTCCTTCACTTCCCTTCCTTTGCCTAGCCCCAACATGGGTCACTTACTCTCGTTTTTATTCTCACCTGACGGTTGCCTCTGGATCCCCATTTTAGTTCACCTCCTTGTCACCTCCAGCCTCCTCCTCCTCATCTTCTTTGCTCCCCCACCATATCTGATGTCACCACTCTCTATCCACTTCTGTCGCCGATCCGTCAACCACCATGTGCCACTGCTGATATCAGCAAAGTCTTGGCGGCCGGTCAAAATTGGGCAACAGGTCCATCTTCATGATGTCGATCTTCCATTGTATACTATCAAATCATTGGCCGCTCGTCTCGCCTGGTTGGAGCGTGGGTTGGTAGTTTCTGAGCTGGAGAAGGTTCATCCCCTTGTGTTGCCTATGTACATCACTGTCCCATTCTTATCTTTTGTCCATTGTCTTCGCTACAGCTACACCTACCATATGCTGCCTGGGACTCACTTGTTCCAAATTGGAACTACTCCCCTCCCTCCCTCGTTTGACCAGGTGGTCCAATACAACAGTCCATTGGTAAGGCCATGGAACTGTCGGATTTGGACTAGGTGGTGGACCAGTGGCTCCAGTTTCTTTTTTCAGCAGAACATTCATTTACAGTGCAATTATTTTTGATTTTTGAATCATTTTTATGGACACATCTTTTTAGAATGCCTGACTGACAATAAAGGAACTGTGTTGATACTGATAGTGTTTTGCCTTGCCCTTTTTTTTTTACTGCATCTTCCCATGACATCATGAATTTCCTGCTCTCTTTTTGCTATTGGACTTTACTTTATGGCTGTACAAACCTGTGACATTACTCACAGCATTCATTGTTCTATCCCTTTTTTTTCCTTTTTTTGACAATCTTATCCTGTACTACCTACGCAGGATCCGTCAGCGTACATTCCTTCCTTCATGTTCTTTCTCATTCTTTTTGCACAGCTATACTGTGCATAGCCTACTTTTCTTTTACTATATAAACCCCTGTATATTACCTTGTAAAAGAACAAGAACTCCAATCCAGACTTTTTCTCTAATCTCAAGTTCACTACTCACTACTACTTGTGATCCAGTGTGGTCACAACACTTCCCACTGCTACCACTGTCAACTGCTGTCATCGTCACTCGTCACTTTTGAAAGTGATTGTCATCCCTTTCAATTAGAGTCCTTCTGAGCACTACAGTCTGTGCGTCAGGAGCCTGCTATCACTGGGAACCTTGTCACCTTGTCATCCTTGTCGTTCTCAAACCTACCTTGTGCTACAATTAGCAAGGTAGTGCTCATCTATACTCGCCACAAAGCCCTTATCTTTCTGCATTCCAACTATCCCTCCTCCTCAAAACCACACACCCATACATTCTTGGGTTTTACTTTGAAGGATTGTTATACGTACCACCCCACAAACAACCAGACCACTCCACTGTTCTAGGAGGCAAAGCCCATAAACAAGTTCCGTGGAATCTGGGAGGATTGTGTGTTAGTTTGTTTTTGTGTGTGTTTTTTTCTAACAACAGTTCTCATCATTGACAACGCCAATACATTGACACAGTCCTGGAGCGTACTGGAATGAAGAACTGCAAACCAGTATGGACACCAATGGCCCATGGATCAAAACTCCTTGCAAATGCTCCAGGGGAAGATATTGTGCAACACGAGATGCATATTGAAGGGTGTCAAGTGTCATACCTCTCAATTGTAGGCTCCCTCATGTATGCCATGCTTGGAACACGCCCAGACATTGCCTACGTTGTTGGAATACTAAGCAGACATAGCTCAGCTCCAAGGAGCCATCACTGGCAAGCTGCAAAATGTGTCCTCTGATATCTGAAAGCAACCAGGGACGTGGAACTACAATAGATGGCACAGATGTCTCCATGGACATGGATTTCTATGGATATTTGGATGTGGATTGGTCTGGAGACCCAGACACGTCACGATCAACATCAGGTTTTGTTTTTATCACCATCCGAGGAGCAATATCCTGGACAAGCAAAAGACAAAGCATGGTAGCTTTATCCTCCGCGGAGTCAGAGTACATTGGATTGAGAAATGCTAGACAACACCTTGCATGGCTTCAGATATTTTTTGAAGAAATCAGACATGCTCAAAATGGACCTACAATATTACACTGTGACAATCAAGCAGCTATCATTTTTACACGAGATCCGCAGTTCCGTGCTCGCACAAAACATATTCAATGGAAATATCATTTTATCCGAGATGACTTAGTATCAAAGGGAGAGGCAGTAATCAGATATGTTCCTACAGGAGATATGGTTGCTGACATTCTCACTAAACCCCTCACTCACGAAAAACACTGGAAATTCTCTAAAGTTATGGGACTACGGTTGCACTCAAGGGGGAGTGACAAAACCAGATAAACCTGGTCTCTGCTAAAGCAGCCATTGTTCTCTATTGAGCATAGCCACCACTCCATGGAGTCACCATTGTTCTCCTAGGGGTCATTATACTGTAGTGATTAGCACCTCTGACTATAATAGGAATATCTCAGTCATTTCTATAGCCTCTCGGGCAGCGGCTGAGGTATATTATATTACATTTATTAGAGATTACCTTAAACTAACATCTATTGTAGTTTTCACTTAGTTCTATTATAAACAACAGAAGGACTTGCGGAGGAGTCTCCTTGATCTACTGGGGTATTTATACATCTACAGGCTATTTGTACATGCATACTATATACAGTTGATGAAAGTGGTGGCTGATGATGTTATAGGGTGCAGCCTGTGTGACCAGCCCCACTGTGTGAGAGAGTTATATCTAGAAAATATGAGAAAGCTGTGCAGTATGAGAAAGTGAAAGTGCCATATAACACAGGAGTCTGAAAGAAGGTTAAAGGAGAGACTAAAAGTCAAAGTCCAAAAAATGTGTATTGTATGTAACAGTTTCACTTACTGTAGGTAAATAATCAAAGTCCTTTCTATAGCCTCTCAGTCAGGGGCTGAGTTTCACTTAGTTTTATTACCTTTCCAAAATGTCAGTGAGGGTACTGTTTGAATTTTGATCCAAAACACACAGCCAGGGCGACTGTAATCTTTTGGGCCCCCATTTTGCTTCTTGTAAGACATGATATTTTATGAGGCTCTGCAGATGAGACTCAATGTGAGCCTCAGGCCAGAGCTATTGATCTTCAAGCACAAGAGACAAAAAACACGACCATACCAATTTATCAACTAATACACAAAATACAACATATATAGCTGTGGCAATAATATGACATGGCAGTGAGGGTTAGACAAGAGACAAAATGGTAATAAAATAATACCTAAAGGATGGTTGGCCCACAGCAAGTTCAAGTTGATTACCAAGGGCTAATGCCCAATGAAAACTAAATCAGTATATACATGTCTATACATGTACTCAGCTATCAATAGAAATACAGATAAGAAACACATAACATCCTTGCAAACAACCAAACATGTCATCAATGTGTGATCTAGAGACTGGATCTGCCTTGACACAGATCCAATGCAAGTGCTTTATGTGAGGCAACGTTAAACTATAACAAAAACAATACCTATCTCCGACTGCACTTGCAGGGAGTAAGAGGTACAATGAGTTTGAGGTCGACAGATGTTAGAGATTATAGCAGGTAGAGGACTGGTAGTAAACTCAAGGGTTTCTGATGAGGAGTAAAGTGGGTTATTCAAGTAATAAGAAGCTAAAGAACAATACATGAGTTTGTAGGGTTTTTATAACTATTTACATACTTTTTGAGTAAATAATGATACTCAGTGTGAACTTTTCTTATAATGAATATATTTCAAATATTGTATATAGATATCAATTTCACTCAGGCTGATTTTGTATGGTCTTAAAAAACATATTGATATTAATATACAAGTTTATGTATATATAGTGATGTAGGTAAGTGGGTATAAATGATGAACCATATCAAGAAAACAAAATACAGTAAAAAAAAAAACTATCAAAAAAGTGAGAGAAAAAGCAAAAAAACTAAATAACAGAAGAAATACCCTCCCCAATAAACTATTTCTCATCTACTTATCTACTTCACTTGTAATACAACTGGCGGCTACCTATGCTACACCATGTTTCCAGGAACTTAGCATGTAATAATAGGGTGTGTGTAGTTTTACTCAGGGGGGTAGCTTGTGTGGCATGAAGTTAACTTAAATGCTTAATGAAATAATTAATATTGTGTAAAGGTAGACTAATGCTAGTATATGTATGGTGGTACAATTTATGCACAAACTACCAATATTATATAAGCAATCACCTTGAGCATCTTATTTACTAGATAAAACATGTGGCTTTGCCACAATTGGGGACAACTAGATTTTTGATAAAATATAATATATATTAAATATATATATTATTTTTGACTGCATAGTAGGTCAGAATACCAGCCAACAAAGGTGCTGGGGCAGGTACCTGCACCTACTTGAGCAAAAAAGGAGCCTGCTCTTCCAGTGTGGCCACAATTGTTTCAGCATATAGGATATAGTGAGTGTGCAGTCCACACACAGCAAGTATGAGCAATAGGTAGACATTAATAGCCATAAGTAGTGCAAACTATA